TTCTGAGACTGTTTCCATTGGCTGATTTTTCTACTGGAGAAAGCTACGTTTTTTTCTACTTGCTTGCTCATCTGGTAAGTTTTCACTGGATGTCACGCACTGTGAATATGATGTTGGCAAGTGTCTGGATTTGTTGTGTTGCTTTTTGTTTGGCTGCAGCTAAGTATTTACGTGGCAGCTTGATCCTTTAGAGACTTGTTTAAAATCTGTGCGAGAGCAGGTCCGGCAGGTCCAGAGAAGCCTTTTCACCAGGGCTGACTCAGCATCATGACTCCCGGGTCTCCGCTGCGTGCCCTGGAGAGAGAGCGCCAAGGATTCTCCGAGGCCGGCTGCCCTGACGAACACATGGAGCTCCCTGCTGGCTGCTCCTTCCCATGAGCTGCTCTTGGCCCAGCCCATGTTGGCTTCTCCTGCATATTTGCATGTGGCTGTCAGCCGCAGCTTCTAGGGGACCTCTGCACAGATCCCAGGATCCCCTCCTCTCAGCAACTGTGCCTCATGAAGCCCACTTCAGCCTCTTCAGCTTCTCCAAACTCCAACCTTTGTCTCCTCCACACAGCAAGACCGCCATGCTCTGTGTGGCTTGCCCTCCCTGCAGGGATCCAGAAGGCCCCGTGGAGAGCAGCTGGGCAGTGAGTGGGCTCACCTCGTGCCGGCCTTCTCTGAGGGCCTTGGCCCTGCACCGCTCATGGGCTCATCGTCCACTCAGCGAAAGCTGTGCCCTGTTTTCTACCCAGTGTCCCAGTTGTTTAAAGTGGGAAGATAGGCCTGGTGACAGCTGATCTGTCATGTTAAATATTTATTTATTTTTGCAGCTACAGAGATTTAAAAATGTATGTGTGGCTGGGCATGGTGGCTCACACATGTAATCCCAGCACTTTGGGAGTTCAAGGCAGGCAGATGGCTTGAGCCCAGGAGTTCAAGACTAGCCTGGGCAACACGGTGAAACCCTGTTTCTAAAACAAATACAATTAGCTGGGCGTGGTGGTGCATACCTGGAGTCCCAGCTACTCGAGAGGCTGAGGCAGGAGGACCACTTAAGCCCAGGAGGTGGAGGCTACACTGAGCCAAGATGATACCACTGCACTCCAGCCTGGGTGACAGAGCAAGACTCTGTTTCAAATAAATAAATAGAATTAAACAAAAACAAGAACACGTTGTGTATAAATTACCACAAACTTTGCAGTTTAGCTGCTTTAAACACCCATTTATTTTCTCAGGTTCTGGGGTCAGGGCCTGGGCAGGGCTCAGCTGTTCCCCACTCAGGGTATCTCCAAGGCTGGAATCAATGATGGCCGGGCCTGCCTCTCCTTGGAAGCCCCGGGCCCCTTCCAGACTCACCCAGCTGTTGGCAGAATTCAGTCCCTGCAGCTGTGGGGCTGAGGCCTCTTTTTCCTCGCTGGCTGATAGCCATTGTCACTCTTCACCCTAGAGGTGTCCTCAAGTCCTGGCCATGCAGCCCCTCTGATGACCCTCTCACAACGTGGTGACTCCCTCTTCAAGGCCAGCAGGGGGGTCTCCCTCCAGTCTCATGCAGAGCCATACCTCCATCTCTGTGTCACTGCCTGGGACAGGAGGGACCTCTCCCCAGACGGCGTCACCAACAGCCTGGAATTCTGCTGCCCCCAATGTGTGGCCCCATGGCCTTCTGTCACAGAGTTGCTGGTGAAAGCCTAGTCCCAGTCTAATTCTTTTTTTTTTTTTTTTTTTTTTTTTTT